ACTTTTTGGCAGGTTTTTGACATACATTACAGACATCATGTCGAGCTGTACTATACAGTTGTTGTTGAAACATTACCTCTACTTGCGATGGAACCTGACATGGCTTTCCTACAATTTATGGAATCATGAATTATTGTAGAAAATGGATAGAACACAGATTTAGAGTGATCAATACGAGTTACCTCCCATCCGCAACGAACGCGATTTTAACCATGAATCTCATGCCTGTCCGGTTTCTTTTTAGGTTTTATAAGTAGAAACAGTGACATGTCTTTAATTTCGTTTTGGAAATAACTTTGGCAAAGTTTGGCCAGGACACTTCCGTTGAACGATTAGCTCAGTCGGTTACAGCGATAGTAGAACAACCGAAGGTCCAGGGTTCGAATCTCTGTCTAGCATCGCTCAACTTTTTACAGGCAAATCACAGCTTTTGATTATATTTTTTTTTCTTTCATCGTTCAGATTTTTATAATAAGTCCTGCAAAATCACAGTTTTTGATTATATTGTTTTTTCTTTCATCGTTAAGATTTTTATAATAAGTCCCGCAAAATATGTTTTTTATTTTAACTTGATTTATCAAAGGTATAATCATGCCAGAAAGCACAGTTACGAGTTTCCTCCAGTTGTACGATCACCACTGAATACATTGTCAACGGTATAAAAGGTAGTTCTGCGTTGCAACAAACAGCTGAATGCGTAATAGTATTGCAATGAACGCTATCCAAGGACGTTGGAATACAGGCTGTGTTTTCAAACATATTTGTTGTAATAAAAAAATTAATATCCGATTACCTCCAAAACAACATTTCACATTTCAAGTTGACGTTTTTACCTTTTCATTTGTTTGATGTCATTTCCTTTAACTTGTTTTATTTCCAATTTATTGGCCCTTATTGACTCTTTTGTGTTGATGGGCCGTTGGGAATCCAAATAGGTAATAATAAATGTTGGCAATATCACAGACAAAAAGCTAGCCCAACCTTATAACAGTTAATATATTAACCATTCATCGTTTATCGAAAGGACAAGGAGAATAAGACCAGGTGTGCCGGAAGGGTCAACGTCTTTTCCTTAATTGATGATACCTGCGAGGTCAAATCCTAGTAATGTCACGTCCGCACATCGAGAACTCAGATAGTACCAACACAACCATTAGGCACTCTAAAACCATTAGGCACTCTAAAACCATCACGCACTCTAAAACCATTAGACCCTCTAAAACCATAAGGCACTCTAAAACCATTAGGCACTCTAAAACCATAAGGCACTCTAAAACCATTAGACACTCTAAAACAATAAGGCACTCTAAAACCATTAGGCACTCTAAAACCATAAGGCACTCTAAAACCATTAGACCCTCTAAAACCATAAGGCACTCTAAAACCATTAGACACTCTAAAATCATAAGACCCTCTAAAACCATTAGACACTCTAAAACCATATGGCACTCTAAAACCATTAGGCACTCTAAAACCATTAGACCCTCTAAAACCATAAGGCACTCTAAAATCATTAGACACTCTAAAACCAGTAGGCACTCTAAAACCATTAGACACTCTAAAACCATTAGGCACTCCAATGAGTATGATTGAAATATCGACGTTCAAACCACATAACTATATAGCATATTTCCCGCGATATCCTAGAAGCGATCAAAAATGTTGTGCATAGCCTTTATCAACCTGTATCAGTTTATCCGACAGCTTCGACATTACTGAGACATGTAAACACTCTGCGTTTGGGAAGCGGAAATGTTACTATCAAGAAAGGAAAAGTTCATGATAGGGGAGTCGAAATCGTCCAACTTATCGAACAGCTTAGAAGAAGGATATCCCGTTGGTCATTTTGCAAGTAGAAATCTAAGAAAGCGGCTGAAGTAAAAGAGTATGTAGTCTCTACTTGTTTTCAAGCTTAGAGGGTATAAACGATCGATGTCTTCAATGAATTCATCTTTTTATTTATAAACAGCACATCGTCGACATATCTGAACATGAAATTGGAGACTTAGCTTGGTTTTAATTACAATTCCTTACAAGCTCATTAATTAATTCAGCTTCAAATAAAAACAATATTTTAAAATCGGCCAGAAGAGAGGCACAGTTCGTTCCCATACGACTGCATATTTCTTTCATAAATACAACATTCAAAAGAATGATGATACAAACAATTAACTTCTGCAAAATCAAATCGAATATAATGCACACGTTTATATTACTGTTTTTTAATGAACCGGTTCATTCACTAATGCATCCATCGCCACTAAGCTCTTGATGCAAATAATCTAACATTCCCGAAAGAAAAGTTTTAAGGATGTGACGCAACATTATTTTGATGTTGCCTTAATGTAGCATAAGTAAATAATAACAATCAATAAAAGAAAATATGGCGTATCTTTATTTTAAAATAATATATAAACAGTATTCTATAGAAACACTTTTCTAGCAGGAGGAGCATTATTCTGCGACGTAGTTGGGTGGGTAGTGGAGATTGACTTCTCCGGGACAGGTCGGTGTACGGCAACACTTGCCTGCGGGAGCAGGATTCAGATGACAGGCCGAAGGAAGATTCCAGGTCACACACCTTCCAATAATAACCAATATTTTCACTCGCATGCTCCTCGATGATCAATGAATTAAACTGCCGTGTATATTTGATTAAATTGTTGACTGCACTTGCGCAATGAATGTTTTAGCAAATGTTGTTATGGTCCTATAACACACATTGCTATTACTGACAAACTTTATAAAGTTCGGCAGGGCCTTATGCAAGTTTGTCGGCAATAGTAATGTGTGTTATAGGACCATAACACTATTTACAGTAATATTCTTTTTTTTTTTAACATTTTGATAGAGAAGTTACGCTTTATTTAGTTATTTCAAACAGTTCTTTGAACAGCAAAAGAAGTCTTGACAACAATAGAGATTGATGAGATTGATGACGTTACAATATCAAATGGTGTTATAGTCTCACAACAACATTTGCCTTATCAATACATTGCAATGAAAGGATGCAGAACAAATGTAAATATATATGTTTGTTAAAACTGATTTAAGTCTATTCTTGACAAAAGAAAACACCTCGATATATTGAATAATCAAGTTCACCAGAAATATTCAGCAACGCTTACATAATATGAAGAATCACTGACGTTATCAAAGTATGGTAGGATTTGTTTGTTCTTTGAGATACTTTCATGGATTTATTTGTCTATTCAAAGTAAGATATATGAACGCTGTTTACAATTATTAATGGTTTGGTCGGTTTAACTTATCTTTCAAATGAAACTATATTGACATGCTTTTAGTAGTGTTGAGACTGCAGTAAGAACAAATGCATAGTCTATTAAAATGCGTCTTTAAAAAGTCTACAGACCTCACCCTGTGTAAATCAGATTATAGATGATTAACCAACCTGTACAAAATGTATAAGATACGTTATGGAGTATCTTATTTAATATGTAACGTTATGAGCTGTAGGTGTCTCGCATAATGTGATGGAAGACAAAGTGTAGCGTAGATGAGTGAATATTCTGAAAACTTTTGAAATGACACTTCACACAATTACTGTAAGCTGAGTGTGTAAAATTATCAGTTCAGTGTGTTCGACCCCAAGAAAGTTTCTGAAGTCCGATCTTATGGTTTGTCAGTATAATAGGATGATTACTTATACTAGCTTCTCCTATCTTGAGGGTGTGACAGAGAAACCCCAAACCCAAATTATCACCTGGACGCTTTGTTACACCATCACGATAAGGGATATTTTTTTTATTATGTTAAAAACGATAGTTTCATCAATTGTAAAATCTTTTAAGCTGAATTGCCTATGTATGGCCTCTCATGTCGAGAGTTCATTGTTACGTATATCTTATATATCCTGTGACGGCATAATACTTTTTTCTTAATGTCATATCTGTCCTACCCTAGGGAGATGACATAGAAATTATACTATATGTATTGACAGAGAAATACTATCCTAGGGGGTTAAAGAAGAATCATTACCAGGTCAAGTGAGAGATAATTCAGGAAAGTAACCCGAAACAGACATCAACCATCAGATTTGGTTTGCTTTGGTTTGATTTTGTATGACGTCATTACAATAGCTTATGTCATTTAAGGACTTCTTGATTTGTACAGTGTATTCTTGCTCGTGTGTATGTGTGCTGGAGGTAGGGTATGTTGATATACTAGATTCATTTCGATAGCGCGGATCTGATGCCAACTTTGGAGTGCCACATCACTGAACTACCATGCCGAAGGCAACAAAAACACAGTATTTCACTTCGTCACATACTTCTGACAACAGGTAAACTGAACGTTAAGCAGGGAATCACAACTGCCATTTTATGGAGTTTGGTATGTCCTGGCCTGGGGACAAAGTCCATTGACTATTTTTCTATGGACGAACGCTCAACACTAAAGCAAAAAGTAAGGTACATGGGAGCAAAGCATTAGGTAACAAAAATAAGAAATGGAGAAAATTTAAGATCCAAATGTTGCAATGGGTGCAGCAGATCAATTGAATTTTCTTCAGTAGCCCCTCAGCACAATACACCTAAGAAAATCCCCGATTCTGCAGGGGGTTGCACATTAGTCCTCTCTTACGACATGTGTATTAGGATACAGCAGACCTATTCTTTCCATAAATCTGCATGGGCTCATCTATGAGAACACATTGTATAACAATAATGGAGATACGACCAGGATGACTCAAAGTGTCACAAATTATAAATGTAGTTTACCTACATATCCCTTACATTAGAATAGTTCCAAAGAAAGTAAAAGACGCCTATGAAGAAAATAAAACTTGTTTATTTACCGTCCATGTTATCAGTGATAGCTTTATTTTACCAGTGTTAATTTGTTTAAGTGTCAGGAATAATACAAATCTAAATAACTTAAAAATAAAATTACATTCCTAAACTAATCAGAAACGAAGTAACCGTCAAAAGGATATAGAAATGAAGTTACTGTCAAAAGATTGTATGTCCACAAAATACATATTAAATAATGTATTCAAGATTGTTTATTGTACACAAGTCAGCAGATTGAGATTCGTAAAACACGACAAGTGTCATTTGGCAAAACATTCCGGAAGCACAGAAAGCATTCGCAAAGCCACACCGACCCAAACGCCTTCTTCATTTGATTTACTCGGGTGTGTAGTTAGCTGGGTAATGAAGCTGGACGTAGCTGGGACAGTTGGGCGTTCTGCAGCACTTCCCCTGGGCCGGGGGATTCATCTGACAAACGTTCGGGAGGTTATCCCATTGTACGCATCTTAAAGAAAACCAAGGCTATGCTTAGCGACAAAGGATATTTAACGGAGATATAAGCGGGATGGAATTGCTGGGATGTTAAGCAGTAACAACTATACAAAAAACAACATACAGGTTTATGTTAAAAAACGTAAATGAAATAGACATAAAAAGCACAAAAGGGGCATTTTATATTCATATCTATTACCCGAATGTATGTTAAAGCAAGTCTGCAAATTACTGACATTTGACACATAGCAAAAACTCATCAACTTTTAACATAGAAATAGACAGGTGAACGCCAATGGGGAAAGCAAAGTATTAAGCAATTTTACAACGTTGCGTTTAGTATGTTTGTGACATAATTTTCTCTCCTTCTTGTGCGTGTATGACGTAATTGTCCAAAGTAACACAGACATGTGATGAATGTCTATTTAAAACCCCATTTCACGTGTGTGACGTCAAAACAGGATAAGAAAGACGTGACGTCACAAAATGGGAAACATTCCGGTAACCCTTTGCGGAAATAGTAATTTTTCTTTCTGAGCTAAAGAAATTCTGGGGACAGGAATGAGAGAAAATATTCATGTCCAGGGGTTTAGGATAGGGCAATTGGTGCAACATCCTCAGAACCATCTGATGTTACTCAGTTTGAAAATGTCTTGCAAGGAATTTACCTATTTGCATCCCACGACATGAAAGGGTGTCATGAAGGAGTGGATATGCAACATTCATGATCATCCCATATTAAAAGTTCAAAGTATTGACCAGGCAGGACGAATAAATACAATATACTCACAGCTGTTGGCAGTTGTACCTTCCCTGTGCTCCGTCAGTGCACGTGCACCTATAATCACAGCCGTCCTTCCACGACTGATTTTGCTGATACACTTGGCCCTTATAGGCACAACCTGTAAACATATGCTTCATTACCTCCTGCACTGATGGTAGACTAAAGCGAGGATACATGAGAATTGTTTAAGTCGACACAACATTTTTTTATAACTTATACAAAGAAAAGAAAAGACTGAAGGATGCACTTCCATACATCCTAATGTTAAAAGTTGTAATGTTATACGTATGGTTAAGGAAACGATACTTTGTTTTGATAATGTCATTTATTTATTTTTATATCACCTCGTGCAATATACACAATCAAGCTGACTAAATAGAAAGAAAAAGGAAAGAAAAAGGAAGGATGAATGTTCACGCATTCGAACATTCGAGACTGTGATTTAATATTGATAACACTATCGCTTTTTACTTCGCCGAAAAAAAGCGCAAAATAAAATGTTACACTGACCGTTTGAATGTCCGGTGACAACACCCGAGGAGCCGGTGCCTGTTTGGGTCATCGAACTGCCCATGCCTGTACCTCCTGGTCCGTAATAACCACTTCCGCCGTTTGTTCCAGTCGTGATCGTACCACCTGTTTACAACATTACGTGATTAAAGTTTTTGTTTTGAAATAGAAAGATATTTTGGAGAAAAAAACGTCAATAACACGATAAGCGCGACAAACCAAAAATAAAGCAAAAATCTAGTCCAAAACAAGAAACCTTCATCCTTCGGAAGTAACAAAATATGCCGTTGTTAAACAAATAGCCCAAATAATGTATTCTAGCAAATGATCCCTTGCATTGTGGACCTTCGTATATACAGTAACCCCTTCTCGATTTGTATAGATGTAACTACAATTAATGAGCCAAGAATGCCTCTGTTAACAAGGTAACTTAGTCTGTTTGACCGATCGTATAACGGTCGTAAGTCCAGGTATCGAATCCCAGTCCAGCCCTGCTGCAGATTTGCACTCAGAACACTGTTGGTGATTTCATTTAGAATATTGCATCTTTATACTTTTTTCAATTAAAAAAGTCCTGAACAGTAGATCAATACATATTCAAGTACGGGGATTATAAAGGTTTTTTTTTTTAAATTATGATTAAAGTAGAATAATTAAACTTTGGCTATTCCCCAATGCTATACTTGTTCAAGTTATGTCGTATAAGCTAACCAAAAATAAAAATGGAAAAACACTAAAAGCGTTGACAACTTATACCACAATGTTGTTTTTTGTGCAAAAAATATTTTTGTTTTTATCAGTAAATAATATCAATGTATATGTTGTGGACCAAGAAGTGTCCTCTGTCTATTTTAGTTTAATTATAAGGGACAATCATGATCATTTGGGGGGGTTGTTCGTTATATACCGAAGACAGGGCATTTTTAGAATAGAAATGTTTTTGTTGAAACAGTGCAAAGCATTCTGTATTAAGATATTTAACACTTTTAGACATTTTGAATAACGCGAATCGTACTCACCACTGCATTTGTTACAAGTTTTAGCGCAGTTATCCTTCACCCATCCTGCGTATGTTTGGTCAGTACATACAGACTGCCCATAGGCTGCGCAGTTCTGGATTCTGTCAGCACATGCACCTACAAGTATATTAATAGGAATGACATCAGCAATTTTTATCAATGTCATTGCCTATATCGTAATGTGTAAATGGAATAAACTCTTTCATGAAATAATTTTAGAAAACGTCGGCCAGGCAGGATTTACTGGTTGTATTTCGACGTTTTTAATTATTGTTAAATATTAAATAAAAATTAGTCTGCATTTACATTCACTTCGATAATGAAACAAAATGAAAATTCAATATTCCATGTATGGAAACTGTAATGGAGATCGGCCATTGAATGGCGTCTTTGCATTTTCCTTTATTATTGTTTTAAAAAGAAGAAAAAAATTGGGGGGGGGGGGGGGGGGGGAAATAATATCAACGACACATACCTGTGTAGCTTCCAGATCCTATAAAAACAGAAAAAAAACATATAAAATGTATTCAAAGAAAAGCAGTTTAGCAAGAGCAGTGACTAATTTTAGACTAGATATACAATTATTAGGCAAGAAACCGCCTGTTGGGTTGTTATTAGTTGAAACTCACTGACTTCTTTGGACATAATCAATCCCTCTCCGTAAAAACGAAGTTAAATCGTTTGAATATTTAAAGCCCTAAAATGTCATTGTCATAAGATGAACGTAACACAGGTAATTGAACCTTTAAACTCTGGGTATAAAGTCGGTAGGCCGAAGATGAATTATATTTAATGTATATATACATAAAAAAACAAAAACATTTTTCTGAATCATCCAGCTGTTTCATCCTTCTAAGATTAATCAGTGATGCAAGGGGCTAAAAAAGTTGGAAATCAAAATTGTCTAAACTACCATTAAAAAGAGGGGTAGGTGTGTTATGCATTTAACAATTTAGAGGAGTACTCGTTAATTTTAAATTAAATAATCTAAAGTGTGTATTTTATGTTCCGTGGCACCACTCAAAAGATATAAAGCTACAGCAAAATCCTCGAGTCTAAACAATCCACCATTAGAGTCTACCACCTTGTATTTTGAAATAAAAATGTCACACACACAGAGTTGATTGCACCTTTAACATGTTGTAATAGATACAGTAGGCAAAAAATGAATTACACTGCATCATACAGCTGTTTCATCCGTCTGCGACTCATAGGTGATGCCTAGTTACCTAGAGGTTGAAAATCAAATGTTTCTATACTACCGTTGAAAAAGAGAGGCAGATGTGTAACGCCTTATTATCAATGACTTTGACTCGCAGTCATTTCTACATGATGTCTTACGGCGATAGAAAGACGATTTGTGTATTGTTTGAAGATCAATTCATAGTTTAGCAACAGTTCAGATCAAAGGGGGACAATGCTACTAGGGGGACAATGCCGCAAAGAAGGTGTAAGGAAATGAGTAACAAACGAATATAGACACCAAGTGATACAATAGGGACAGTATATCACGTTAGACTTCTTAAATGCCTTCGTAGAAGAAGACATTTTCTTGAATTTGTGTCCCTACAGGTAGGGCGTAAGAATTGTACCTGCTGCCCCCATTGCATGATCGTAAGAGGCGAATTAATTTGAGATCTTATCTTTTCTCTTCTTTCTAAACAACTTGTTGAAAGTGCCTCAATTTTGGCCTTTAGTTGAGCGTTAGCCTCTGTGAGGAAGGCTTTGGGCTCTGTCCCCTGGCCGAGACATACCAGAGTCTGTACAAATAGTAGTTTCTACTCCTGCTCAACGCAGCAATCTAGGAGTTGGACGATTGGTTCGCCCGTTATCAGTATAATGTGACCTGCTGGGTGTTTTCGGCAGTATGTTTCAGTGAGGTAGCCCTATAAAGTCGACATCAGTTCCGCGCTATCACAGGGAGACAAACACGAACATATTGCAGCCTCCCAAAACACACACGCATACGCTACACGCATGCATCTTGCACACAGGGGAAGCTGTTGATAGAAAATTAAACAATACTAAACCAAACCAAATATCTTGACTTTGTTGTTAAATTTGTAACATCACTGCTGCCTACCTAAGCATATAGTTTAAGGCTGACGATGGTATCTATTCGCTTTTCCTGTTGGTGATAAATCTCGCATGATGAGTTAATATTGGTTCAAAGTATTATGTACCTGTTCCGTTGTAAACATTTTCTGCTGTATTGATGAGGTAAGCAGGTAAAAAGGGGTAAACACTTTGACATTTCGCGTATACAATTGTTTATATTGCAAAAAACTCCCCGTATTTAACCACCCTGACAAGGATGATGCGATTGTTAAAACATCAATATTACAATCAAATGAAAAAAATAGCAGACATTCGTTCTACTTAGACTTACATTCTGCACCACTGATAATTACAAACATCAACTTATCATATGGAAACACTATTTTACTGTTACTATGTGGAGATCCAATGTTTGAAATCCATTTTCACAATTCATTGGCCGGTACCAGAGTTATCTGAGCCAGATGGTCTAGTAAATCTACCTACCAGAACCACCTGTACCAAAACCGACTCCTGATCCAGTTCCGCTTCCACCCGATCCACCTTGATACACCCCAGTTCCACCAGACCCGCCTGGGTAAGTTCCGGTTCCACTAGATCCACCTGGGTAAGTTCCAGTTCCAGTTCCACCAGTGCCGCTTGGATACGTTCCAGTTCCAGTTCCACCAGTGCCGCTTGGGTACGTTCCAGTTCCTGTTCCACCAGATCCACTTGGGTACGTTCCGGTTCCAGTTCCACCAGATCCACTTGGGTACGTTCCAGTTCCACCAGACCCGCTTGGGTACGTTCCAGTTCCAGTGCCACCAGTGCCGCTTGGGTACGTTCCAGTTCCTGTTCCACCAGTTCCGCTTGGGTCCGTTCCAGTTCCAGTTCCACCAGTCCCGCTTGGGTACGTTCCAGTTCCTGTTCCACCAGATCCACTTGGGAACGTTCCGGTTCCAGTTCCACCAGATCCGCTTGGGTACGTTCCAGTTCCAGTGCCACCAGAGCCGCTTGGGTACGTTCCAGTTCCTGTTCCACCAGATCCACTTGGGTACTTTCCGGTTCCAGTTCCACCAGATTCACTTGGGTACGTTCCAGTTCCACCAGACCCGCCTGGGTACGTTCCAGTTCCAGTGCCACCAGTGCCGCTTGGATACGTTTCAGTTCCAGTTCCACCAGTGCCGCTTGGGTACGTTCCAGTTCCTTTTGATAAAAGTCTGCTGGTTACATAATATATTTGAAATATTGTTTTTGCCAATGCGGTGCCTTTGCATAAGTTCATTAATATCAGCAAGCTTCCTGTATGCTCCGATGACACGCAGCAAAGCTGCGATATGCGTTGCTTCATTGGTTGTAAGCCAGTATGCAGATTGAAAGCAATTACCATGATATAGTGCGCCATGTGTACCCTCACCATACTGTCCCGATTTCGTGGATCAGTGTTGTCAGTGATTAATAAATCCTGTTGCAAATTGTCCTAGGTAAAGCCATTATAATTCGAAGCTCAACGCCGCTGATAAGCTGGGATTCCATGTTATTGAAAACAGCATGCAGGTGATAAATAAGAACTCCATTGTATGAAGACTTGGTGAATTTCTTTGAATTCATCTTAGGTGTTTTAACATTTCTCACAACCGATTAGTGAAAACATTTGTTTTAAAATATTTTGAACACATAAACTTACCCAGACATCGTCTCGTAGTATTCTGTTAGAAATGTATTCATACTCTAGGAAGTAAACTGTTAAACAACGCAAGGAATTAAGCAGAACACTTCAATATTATAATGAGGTGAGTGTTATATGCTACACCAAAACAATGCGATTTTTTAATTTCTCTTATAGCATGCATTACTATTAGTTCATTAAGCACAATACTCATACAAAAGCTCATTTGAAACTTCAACCACAAAAAACATAGATGTCCAGCATGTTTGTGTAAACAATATATATTCTTTTAAATAGTGAATAAACAGCTTAATTGTTAAAAAAAATCGCATTTTTAATCGAGTTCATTTTGAATTTTGTCATTCTGGTCTGTACAGTTTCAGTTATATTTTTACCTTTTTCAACACTGCAATTGCATTTTATAACTATTTTATGCATAGATAACTACTTTCAACATTGTAGCATTGACTTTCATGTTGGAACTAACTTGTATTACAATTGATACACGGCCCTGTGTGCAGATTAAAAATTCATGGCCATACGTTCAAATGACAAATACATTGGAATAAAAAAACATTATATTTTCGGAGAGTGGGAAAGATCGAACACCCAGCATAACATGCATTGCATATGAGTATTAATATTACAAAGACGAAGCAAAAGCTCATTGTGCCATCAGTCTCAAAATACGCATGCATACTCTTAAGAGTAACTGGAATTTATAGCTAATCATTGTCTGAATACATTTAAAAAAAGGTTCGTGACGTTGTACAACCAAAGCAGATGGTTCCAACCTCGCTAAAATACAAAGAGGCGACTCCTCACTTTAGAAGTTTCATTTCGTAAAGTTATTTTGCTGACTTCCCTTTGACAAGAAAAAAACGAAAACCAAGTTTATAAGAATTGAAAAAAATATATCAAAATACCTGTTCCGGTGTTGGGGTTAGTTCCGGTTCCGGTGTTTGGGTAAGTTCCGGTTCCAGTACCTGTGTTGGGGTAGGTTCCTGATCCTGTTCCGGTGTTGGGATAAGTTCCGGTTCCAGTTCCGGTGTTGGGGTAAGTTCCGGTTCCAGTTCCGGTGTTGGGGTAAGTTCCAGTTCCGGTTCCGGTTCCGGTGTTGGGGTAAGTTCCTGTTCCAGTACCTGTGTTGGGGTATGTTCCTGATCCTGTTCCGGTGTTGGGGTAAGTTCCTGTTCCAGTTCCGGTGTTAGGGTAAGTTCCGGCTCCAGTTCCGGTGTTGGGGTAAGTGCCGGTTCCAGTTCCGGTGTTGGGGTAAGTCCCGGTTCCAGTACCTGTGTTGGGGTAGGTTCCTGATCCAGTTCCGGTGTTTGGGTAAGTTCCAGTTCCGGTTCCAGTTCCGGTGTTGGGGTAAGTTCCGGTTCCAGTACCTGTGTTGGGGTAGGTTCCTGATCCAGTTCCGGTGTTGGGGTAAGTTCCGGTTCCAGTTCCGGTGTTGGGGTAAGTTCCAGTTCCAGTACCTGTGTTGGGGTAGGTGCCTGATCCAGTTCCGGTGTTGGGGTAGGTTCCTGAACCAGTACCAGTGTTGGGGTAAGTTCCAGAACCAGAGCCACCTGTATTGATAAAATATTTTGAAACGTCATTGAATACATGATTTTAAAACGAATGCATTTTTGATATGTTGAATATCGACAAATGTGTCTATCTGAATCATCAAATATGAAATATCTTTTAGTTAAGAAAAAGAAAGATTAACATACGTACATTAACATAATGTAGAAAGAAAGGGGAAGACAGTGAGAGGGGCAGATAGAAGGGGGAAACAATAAAAGTAATGAAGACACACACAAGCATAGACAACACTTATTATAAGCATAACTTGTAAAATTCGATCATGACATAAATTAAAGAAATAACCAAAATCATAATTTCAACGCAATATCGATATGAAAATAGCGAAAACAACTCGTTTTAAAGCAAAGTTAAGTTGTAACAGAACGATGCTTTATCAAATTAGATTACGTCACTTCCGTGTAAACCACCAAGTAAAACAAACTCATCCGTGGTCGTGGACAGATTTAGTAGCACAAGGAATGCGTGGCGATAAAAGACAAACCAAAATCAAAAGCTAAATGGTCATTAGAGACCTTTCTGTGACACAAGCCGATGCATGATTGTAAACAAACACCCTCTTGGAGAAGCTGATAAGTAAACAAGCTGTTGTTATGATCATAAACAACGAACAATTTATACAAGCGATGACATGGTTCCAAAAACAACCAACAAATCAGCCTTCGGGTTTAACAGCGAAAGGATGTTCAAAAACAGCGTTCGATAACACAAGCTGATCCGCTGACATAACAAAAGCAAATACGATATGTAAATTGCTGTTTAGCCAGAAACCACAACTTTTTAGGCAGTTGGTCAATGGATGATTTTTGTTTCAATTATATTTAAATATCCCATCGTTGTCCATGGGAAGTGAGTAATGACTAAGAGACTCTCTAAGTATTCCAATACTGCAGTGCAATCGATATTTCGATATGTCAACGACTGAAAGAATTAGATATGTTTACATTTTTCATAAAAGAGAAGATATCATTCCGTATTTTCTTTCAGTATCATCTTGCTCCGATGTTCATCAAAAACACCGAAGTGTCAGTTTGAACTCGAAATCGATACAAGCAGTGTAAATGTTAGCAAAGGAATATGGAGATTATTGAAAATGTACAAGGAGAATAAAGCCATATGTTATGGAAGGGGAAGCGTCTTGTGCAGTTTTGAAAAAAACTGTAAATATTTGTCAAATCCAAGAAATATCACGTCCCGAAATTTAAAGCAAGAACCGGGATAGTGAAAACGAAAAAAAACCAAGGAACACTTTTGAGCTTAATGAGAAATATCGACTTTCATATTGCTCAAGGAAATAGAATATCATAGTGGCTACTATAAAACTTGCCCCTTGTCTTCATCGACATGCTCTCTCTTAATTGTGTGCTGTTAGTTATCCGTTTTGATATAATTTATATTTGAATATAATGTGCTTCTACACCAAATAGTAAACAAACCACTTCATCGATAGTAAAAGCATGGGGGGACGAGCCAGGAGAATACAGAGACTCCAATCATATCCCTATAGACGGGAGGTGGAGAATACCAAGAATAATGGAGGGGTATACAGGGACTCCAAGCAGATCCCTATAGACGGGAGGTGGAGAACAATCCACTTGAATGCATCCTGTCAGAATATCTTATTTATATTTATATTTGTTTCAGATTCTGTATTATTTTAAACAGCGGGAATGGCCTGAAGCACCTGTAGTTACATTGCTGCAAGCGTGTACAACGGTGAAAGCAGGTACATGTGTCACCAGCAAAGCGGAAATGTTATTTTAGTTGGACATGCCTATGGAGGGTATAAGTATCGTTCCTCCAGATCCACCGGTTCCTGTTCCGGTTCCTGTTCCGGTTCCTGTTCCGGTTCCTGTTCCGGTTCCGGTCATAGTACCTGTGCTGCTACCCAGCATGCCTTAGAAATCAATTCACATGTGTTTTGACCGTCTACCAGACATTCACTAAACAATAATAGTTTCCGCAAACTGGAGTGATTTGGTCATAACATTACCACAGAACTTGATAATTTTCTTTGACGTCGACAACAGTACCTGCTGGCGAAGTTATGCAAATTTTCCGCCAATGATACCCAAACGTGTGTCGACTTCAACAGTACAGGTGAGGTGAGTTAACATATCTCATGCTTTACTATTATTTACCGCTCACACGTTAATATGTTTTGAAAAAGAAAAGTCTATCAGTTGATCAGACTAATGTACAAAACAATTATCCAGCATTCACAGAAACAATACTGTTGATATGATAAATACGTAGTCAACTCGAATAATCACCTAATAACCAGATAAAAAGAGAAAACTATAATTTAAATATTGTCACAACTGTTTCAATTAATCGTTTTTAAAACAGTTGCATATCGTACACTGTGTCTGTTCTTTTTGATATATATACTTATAGATGTTGCTTCAAACTTGGTTACATTTGCAGGTAAGTTAAAATGTTCTCACCACATTTATGACAGAAAGCTGGACAGTTTTTGAGGACCCATTGATCGTACTGCTGGTCACTACACACCGAGTTAGTGTAGGCAGCGCAGTTGCTGATAGTATCAACACAGGATGCTACAAAAGAGAAGCCAATAAATTACAATGTTTAAAATTTCAATATTTCAACATTTAAAATTCAGCATATCTTTTATTCAAAACACAGTAGCAATATGTATAAATACAAATTACAGTTACTTACATAATTCTATTTTCAATTTTATAGCCATATCATTTAAATAAATGCATGATTAGTATGTCGGTTCGATGACTAGTACGGTATGCACTCTGTCACCTTCATCAGACAAATGTTCAATTGTATTAGTCAACGAAACGTCACGTAGATAAATCTCATTGGTAAAGCTATCTCAATCTGTATCAAATATACTCTCACCAATCTGCAAATAAAGTTAAAGAAGTCTATATACAATCTACTATGAAATAAAACTATTTCAGGCAAGGAGGAGTAGGTAGGTCACACAAGATCTTCAGGTAGAACACCTTGATAGTTTATATATTCTTGACCCCTCCCAAACAAACGATGTACAAGTCCATTTTACGGAACATTTACGAACTTCTTGTGATGGGTTATTAGGGATTAGGATAGCTACAGCAGTGTCACATTTTGAAATATTATTCAATTATGCGAAGAAATTAATTCATGGTTTTATTTTCTTCTTGGATGCTTAAAAAGTTTGGCAAATAAAGTAACTTTTATTAATTTTGGTTGTATTAGCGAAACAATTTAAAGCATCCGTTTAAACAGAATTAAAAAAAAACCATTTATACCTATCTTAGATCTGTTCATAAACAAAAATAAAAAATTAACGAATGAAATAATGGAAAGGTTATTGTAAGAATGTCATAAAAGATGTAAAAAATTTCGTGGAAATTATACGTTTTCTTGAAGGCAATGTCAGTGTGATTTTTATCGATCGTTTACAAATAAAGACAGTATGTTAAAACATGTACACGAACAAAAACCTACATAACTAAAAACATGTGTTACTTACTAGACCCGCTTGATCCTCCAGCTGAAACAGGGCATGGCAAATATAACTACACGAGGTATCAATATAGTGTTATTTCTTATAACAATCCGACCAAAAACTATCTAGTAGGTAAAAAAAATTACTGCAATAACACATAGGAAGCGATTAACTACACTATTAATTCGAGACCAAAACAACCAAGCTACACTCATATTAAATCTATCTACGTTATATGAAAATAAATTTCAACATTCTGTCAATTAGCAAACATTTCAACAACCCTTTGCAACGTTATCACACAATGAAAAAGACTTTACAATTTCCAGTTGGCGCTGACATTATTCAAAATATCCCACTTGTTCGCGATACATTTAAGTATTATTCAACATATGTTTCATATATTTCATGAACTTGTAAAGAATGAATCTTGCTATGGTTCGTAGTTAACTTGAAAAGTCTCGAGGCAAACTCAATTGATGATGTGTACAGGGCAACTGGACATGTGCTGATCATTGTACAAAGACTGTTATGAATCGAACAAAACAACAACGATAAATTACAGTAGGTAGGTAGATTTCTGATGATCTGTAGTAAGAAAGGAGGGGTTCTGAAATATGTTTAAATCCCAACCATAGAACAACCCAAGGAAGAGTAGGTAGGTCACACTAGATCTCTATGTAGAACACCTTGATAGTTTATATTTTCGTGACCCCTCTCAAACAAACGATGTACAAGTCCATTATACGGAACATTTACGAACTTCTTGTGATCGGTTATTAGGGATGTATAATGATAATAGCTACAGCAGCGTCTCATTTTGAAATATCATTCAATTATGCAAAGAAATAAACTCATGGTTTTATTTTCTACTTTGATGCTTAAAAAGTTTGGCAAATAAAGAAACTTTTATTAAATTTGGTTGTATAAGCGAAACAATTTAAAGTATTCGTTTAAACAGAATTAAAAAAAAACCACATTTATACCTATCTTAGATCTGTTCATAAACAAAAATAAATAATTAACGAATGAAATAATGGAAAGGTTATTGTAAGAATGTCATAAAAGATGTGAAAATTTTCTTGGAAATTATACGTTTTCTTGAAGGCAATGTCAGTGTGATTTTTATCGATCGTTTACAAATAAAGACAGTATGTTAAAACATGTACACGAACAAAAACCTACAAAACCAAAAACATGTGTTACTTACTAGACCCGCTTGATCCTCCAGCTGAAACATGACATGGCAAATATAACTACACGAGGTATCAATATAGTGTTATTTCTTATAACAATCCGACCAAAAACTATCTAGTAGGTAAAAAAAATAACTGCAATAACACATAGGAAGCGATTAACTACACTATTAATTCGAGACCAAAACAACCAAGCTACACTCATATTAAATCTATCTACGTTATATGAAAATAAATTTCAGCTTCTGTCAATTAGCAAACATTTCAACAACCCTTTGCAACGTTATCACACAATGAAAAAGACTTTACAATTTCCGGTTGGCGCTGACATTATTCAAAATATCCCACTTGTTCGCAATACATTTAAGTATTATTAAATATATGTTTCATATATTTCATGAACTTTTAAAGAATGAATCTTGCTATGGTTTGTAGTTAACTTGAAAAGTCTCGAGGCAAACTCAATTGATGATGTGAACAGGGCAACTGGACATGTGGTGATCATTGTACAAAGACTGTTATGAATCGAACAAAACAACAACGATAAATTACAGTAGGTAGGTAGATTTCTGATGATCTATAGTAAACAGGAGGGGTTCTGAAATTGGTTTAAACCCCAACCATGGAACAACCTTTTTTAAATTTGTTATGGATCAATTGGCATTTGGTAGTTGCAACGCTGGTGTAAATAGATGAAAAGCGAAAGATATACGAAATTACAAATGTATTGCCGTTGCAACTAAACATTGTTAGGTCATTGAGCTACAGTATCTCGCATCTTCTACTGTTACGACAATCAGACGTAAGTACTTACGGGTCATAATCAAGTGAAATCCTCCGTCTAAAAAGACAAATATTAGAAAATAGAAAATATAATATAAACCAAATTTTGTCAATACTATTAATTGTTGTAAATGATACATGCTACCTTACACTGGCATGCAAGATATTGTCATCAGTGGAACCGTTCAAATACCTGAATGGTAGGAATACAATCCCGCGGTAATTTTGATCGATAGAACACTATATATTCTTTTAGCTATAGTATACAAGTATTGACATTTTCAAAGGTGAAACCAAGGTTTATCATCCTCATAATTCGGGTTATAAATTCGACGCATTAAAAGAAAGAGAAATGATAACAGGTTGATTATTATACTATTTATCCATGAAGAACACATCATGATTATTTATAAATGTTTCTGGTTTTTATCACGCCATGTAAAAGCAAATGGCGGGAGAAATTAACAAAAGATATACCGATTCATCATATCAGTTGAGCTTGATAGTTTTGTATCGTAACAATACTTCTGAAAATAACTTAAACTAAATGGAAATATTGTTCAGATACAAAACTACCATAACAGTCACGTGACTATCCAGCACGGGAGGCAAATTAGAGTGATCGAAGTTACCCTACTTTCCCCTAGACCAAATACAAAAGTCAAGCACGAGAGGAACAAAAAAAATCACGGCAAACCATGTTTCAATACAAGGAAGTCTATATTATTAACCGATAATATCATGACCATATAATATTGATATTGTGATTTTATTCATTGTTCTATGTAAAAGTATCATTCTTTTTAAATAACAAATGTTGTTGACAGAAGAGCAGCGACTACATATGATAATCTGAATGACATTGATTTAAAGAAAAGATACGAAGATATGATCCAAACATCAACGAACAGCAAATTCAGATGCAATTATGATAAAAACTCAAACAAGAGAGAATAGCAGCAGATACAAAACAGCATTAAATTACGAAAACATCAAACGTTTGTTAAAACATTGTTCATTCTGATAGACGAAATACGGTTCACAACAGGGTATACTTTTCGAAACATGCCGTTGATGTTTCACAACTGAAAGAAGGTTGGGTCAGATTCCTTTTTGAATGCCTCTTGTAAGCACAATTTCCGTTGTTGAACATTTATTACTCAGACGACCGTATCATAAATTAAGTTTGGATAACGAATAATATTGAATAAATATATTTACCACCTCCAGTGCCTCCAGTGCCTCCAGTTTGTCCTCCAGTCATTTGACCTCCACCAGTCGATCCCCCCATTGAACCTCCTAGATAAATAGCCAAGGAACTTATAGAAGTAGTTCACCGTACACAAATGTCATAAATTGAATCATTTCGCTTTCACTTTCTGCCAACCATGAATTAACTAATTGACAACACAAAAACAATGGTCAACAGTTTAGGTAAAACATTCAAACCCTTATATTGAACGATAACAATCCCAGAAATTAACCCAATATATTGAACGGTACAGCGCTGTACCAATAACAAAAAGAATTATAGATGGTGGAAATGAAAGGATTGGAATTCATTCATAAAAAATGATCACTCTAAACATGCTTTGTTATTCAAACTATAAATTCAATAGATTTGCACCACCCCCTTAATGCATTAACAAGGCCGAGACATCATGAAAATAATTGACGTTGGGATATAGTATACAGGTATTTACTCTAATTGCAATAATTATGTCAATATGTCTGGCTCTTGAGGATAAGATTAACTAATTAATGTTATTATATTATATCAAGTCTATATAATTTGCATTTGATATACCAGAAACAACACGTACCTGAGCTCATTGATGACCCACCTGTAAAGAAACCCCCAAATCAATTCCTGAAGTAAGGTAATAAACGACTGTATTTGAATTGTGATAAGGTAAACATCGAAAATTCACGTCATTGTCAATATGTTCTTTTTCCCTTATTTTTTGAATTTAAACATCCGTGCAGCTGCTCACTTATGAATATATCGTAAAAAACGGCTCTTTTGATATATTCTATAGTTTGAAACACTTCAGATATTGGTACAACCATTTACAGTCGAACACTTTATGATTGAATGCGGTGATTTTAAACAAATACGTGATAGATTGTATGATGTAACGTCTATGAAAATATTATTCGATACTGTGCAATTAATAATATGACTATTTACCCTTTATTGATCTTTATAATAAAATATGATATATTTTGCAGCCTATTCGTTTGATGTTGATTTATTTCTAAATCCTTTACATATTGTAAGATATTTAGTTTTGGTTGGATGTGTTTATTTTTATCAATGTCTCTTTCTACAGTGTTGTTTGACCCAAAATGACTCACATTGTCGACGGGCCGTTAAACAATAGAAAAACAAAACAAATAATTCTGTTGAAATTTAGTACCGCAGAATACCAAGGGGACGAAATGGCCATATGACGCTGTGATATGTTCCCACAAGGGATAAAAACAACCCATTATGCCGGTAGCGCATTCGTCGCCTCTAAGGATCATGCAATGGGATACAGTAAACGTATTATGTCCCCGAAACTGCACGGAATTCTATTTCCACAAATCCGAACCGATATAGCTTGATATACATCTTATAACATTTAAAAGCAACTTCCACATATAGATAGCATTACTTACACAAGTTGCATGTTTTTCTACAGTTGTCTTTGGCCCATGGGGTGTATTGAGGATCGCTGCACATAGCTGCGCCGTAGTCCGGGCAGTTGGATAGAGAATCCGTGCACGTGGCTACAAAGGTACAACGGTAGTTAGTTGTAAACACGTTATAAAATGGTATTGCGAGCGTCTAGACTAAAAGTATATAACTAGAATGTTTAAACTCCCTTTAATGCCGTCAAATTATATTTCACTAGGTGATACATGTATGGAAGTACTGGTTGTGATCTGTGGTATCTCAAAAGTTAACAACTTAAAAAAGATTTTTTTTTCTATGTGACCCTAATGCTCTTCCGTAGTCATTTCATTGCTTTAATCAGCTCTAGGATTAACAAAATAATAAATTATATTGATGTATATTATAACTTCTCTAAATAACTTAGCAAATGGGTCAATAATAAGGTAATTAATAAAACAAAAAGGAAAGACACATTTATGCATCGTAAAGTATGAGGTATCCATAGAGAGCAGCATTGTGGTATTAAGAAGACGTTCTGTCGGGTTCCAGAACTATGTTTAAAAGAATGTTTGGGAGATCTTGAAAAGAGGGCGAGAGAGCCTACTCCAGGATAGGGGGAAGGTCACTGACAGTCGTAGCCACAATGCATTGAACTAATAAAACACTTAAGTCCACAACGTGGTGTTCAGCGTGTTGTGTTCAATTGTAACACTTGTTTCGTGAAACTTTTGTCAGACCGTAATTAAATTCTTCATGACTCTAATGATAATCTCGTGACAATATGTACCTGTCTGTAGACTCCCAGCTCCGCCGCCATTTTGGATCACCACCGAACCACCACCTACGGAATAAAGCCAGTGATGCATTAGGTATTAGTGCCATACTGTTACTTCACGAGGTTAGATTAATTCATTTCTCTCTTTCCTACTATAGGTTTTTTTCTCACTCCTCGTTGGATAAATGTGCCGGAGTTGAAACATATTTTGGTTACCAACCGCATTATTTCATTTGTTAACTTTTGTATGTTGACACCCTTTACATTTGTATGTATATAGCGATAAACGTCTTTTCACCTGATGTAAAATGTTGATTTTTATACCTTTTTATCTTTTTTGATTAATAACTGTCACCTTAGCAATACTATTATTCATGTGCTGTAGAGTGCATCAGAGTAGTTTTACAAATTATATATATATAGGCCGCTATACAAATGTTGAATATTATTTTTTATAATATTATCTAATTTAAATAATAAACCACTATTTACCACCTCCTGTTTGAGTGCCCATTCCACCGGTGCCTCCGTCGGTAGTCTGGAAGTTGCATTGGGGTTTGGAACAGCACGAGTTTTGTATCTTCACCATAAAACAGCCCTGAGGCAGGTTGTCGTAGGTGGGACACCTGGCGGTTAGAAGATCAGGGATATCACTTGATACGTTATAATAATAGTAATAACAATTCGAGGTTTTTATATACCGCTTTATCACAACCTAGTTCGCAGGTCGTCTCAAAGCGGTTCACAGCTAGCATTCAACAGTTCTAGCACGGCCCAAGCACGTACTCATTAACAGCTGAATAGACTGAAGCAAGCGAAGTAAAGTATATTGTTCAAAGATACAACACAGTGCCATGACGTGACTCGAACCCGCAACCCTTCGGTCACGATCCCGGTGTCCTACCACTAGGCTACCTTCTGAATATACATGATATATAGTAAAATTAAGTACAGTGTATCACAGATAATTTTGTAAAAATATCTGTATTGCACTTCGCTACCAATGCTGACTTCATTTGAAAGTACTATGGAAACAGTCTGAAAGTTGCCCTTCAACATGGCGCTTACTAAACATAATAAATGTATAACAGTTATTCATTAACAAAAAAGATGCAATGTAAAATTAATTTAAGCAATAATAAGAATTTAAAAAAATCATGCTGTTGACTTTTTAAAGGATAACCATTAAAGACCATTTTGAATTAATAACCAGAAATGATGCAGAAAGGAATTAACACAGCAAGAAGCATGACATCTGGCGCAATGGCTAATTTTTATCCTTTTTAATCAACATTATCTAGGGACGGAATCCTCGTGGCGGGTTTTTATTGTGAAATATGAAGTAGTGGTTAATGTAATTCTTTCATATACCTCTCAAAATAATTTTAAAAATTCCAAGCCAGGAAAACGGCAAGCAATGTTGAACGCTTCTTTGTAGAAAATGCAAAACCAAGCGCTGGGACACTAGATCTAAATAAAAAACAGCAGAATTGCAATTTATTATAATTATTTGAAAAGTGCGTACTTACACATCCGTACACGAGTATTTGCCGGCAGTGCCATCCACGCATGAACAGTCATACTTGCATGGTACCGTCCAAGTCTGCCCTTGCTGGTAGACCTTTCCCTCGTATAGACAGCCTCCACCTAATAGCAAAACAGAAGGCAAATGCTATTGGTTATGTTATCAAATTTAGTGACTACAACACTACGTCCAGTAAAATAAGTTCTCGTTTAAAACTTAAATCAAGTCAACATCACAATATATAACTGATAATGTGGATAGAATGAAGTGGTAGTCACCAATTTCATAACATAGCAAAACCAGTCCTCACAGATCTGTTTTGACCGATTGAACTAAACGGATTTGCAGCAGATTTGGGATCTATATATTTCTATCTGTCTAATTTCTTAGTGCCTTGCTTCGCATCACTTCACTTTTGGCTTTCATGTTGAACGTTCGCCCAATGGGAGAAAGGCAGTGGGTTCTGTCCCCAGACCCAGACATTCCAAAGGCCTTAAAAATGGTAGTTTGGTATGCCCAGCTTAACGTTCAGCATGTAGTTCATCCGTTGTCAGTATAATGTGACCGGGCGATATGCTGTGCTGTGTGCCTTAGGCATGCTATTACAGTGAAGTAGCACTATACAGTCGGCATAAGATCCGCGCTATCACATGGAGGCAAGTACGCCAACACTCCCTGTCTCCGGGTGCATCTTCTTTGCAACAACCATTTTATTATCAACACTTAGAATACATATATGTGGTCGACCAAATGCAAGCATGCCCCTATTGATAGGTACAAAACATATCGTCACTCAGCCACTGGGGCTGGTGAACAGGAGAAAAAAGCCCAGCAGCTGAAATATTTTACAACTCCGTTCGATCTATAAATACGATACAATTTACACATCAATTGTCTTAAGTTGCATATTTATTCCATACCGTGATCGTATACTCCAAGTATTGTAGAATGATTGGACAAAAAATTACCGAACTTCTATTTTCTTCATTTAATTATGACTTGGTAGTAAAACAAAACCTACCGACTATATCATTTTAACAGTAACGAACAACAGCAATATATATATATATTTACATTTGGTGTGGCAAAGCCCTTCTATATACCTACTAAAGTACTGCCAAAAGCAGCTTCATCTTATGAGACTATAACTGAAGTTGGTCTTTGCACCTCCGAGCGACTTAACAGTGTCACTACCGAACTTATCGGTATCTTCTGCATACAAACTTATCATGGCGCGCTAGCGCACCATTCAATTTGTCTGTGACACATGTGGCAGTTAAACCAGTTGGTCTGCCACATCTATGTAGTTTATTGCTTAAATACATAATTTAAGGAAGTTTATTATATACCTTAAGCACTGGTTTTCAGATCGTATTCTTAATACTAGTGAAATCGATATATCATTGTTTTTCTTTTTTTCTGAATTTATTCAATGTTTACATGACGTGTTCCTAATTTTTAATATAACATGACAAATTTGAAGTGCCATGAAAACAAGAGAATACTATAATTTGAACTTGTAATCGATAAAGCAAAGGTGAAATACGAACAAAGAAACGAGTTACATGGAGACCCTTGAAAACATACACAGAGATTAAGACCGTGTGTTCCGGAAGATATAACGTCTGTTGCTTCATTGATATCACCAGCCATGTAAATAAAGGTCAAATTGAAGTAATTCCTGACCTCACATCAATAACTCGGGTGGCGACAACAAAACCAAAAGGCACACTAATACGCATATTTGAAAAAAGTCGACCTTCATATGACACAAAAAGCAATCTGTTTTACTGTAGATTTAAATGTCTTCAGAACCCGCCGAGTCACAGAAAATGTACGTTCGTGGCTATTACATGACTATCACATCGGTGTACATTGTATAGCCAAACATAATTCATAAAAATATATCGGATCATCATTTCAATATTCTGCTGTTTTGGTGTATGTTGTTGGAACTCATATCTGAACCCGTATTCAGCCAAGCAATTAGCAAGTGGGATATCAGGCCGTGAGTGAAACTTATTTGTTTTCAAGTGGCCTTGATTCATACATACATAAGTGATATGTATTCTTCAGATAGTACCAATTTTCGGGTAAGAAGATACACTTGAGTCAATGTTGCGTACAATTCACTATCGAGCAATATATTACACTGTACCTGAAACGATATTGGTATATTACGAAAAAATACATATATGTGTGTGAAAGGGTGAGTATTTGTTTGTATATTATTATTTTATTTTTTTACATATTTTTATCGAATACTTCTGTAAGGCTGTACTCTCGATATCGTTCGTGGAGATTCTATCGCCAATAATAGTCAGAAACAATATGATATAATATAAGTTCTAGCAGAATAACAATAATATCAGTCAAAGTAATGAGGAAGCGAGTTTAAATTGTATCAATCTACTTAGATAGGACTTAACTTAGAAACATAGTTTTAATGATAGTTTTCGTCCAGGTCAAATGCCATACGCACTGTACAAGTACATCACGTGATTAGGGAAAGTCAAACGGTGACTTTACAAGTTCATGTAAGTTGGGATTGAATAAGTCATGCCGTGTCAGACATCCGGTTCAGGTCACGTGCTATCTTGTGTCATGTCTAGAAAAAATGTCTGGTATCTAATACAGACATTCAATGACAGGTAATGTCCTTATCACCGAGTGTTGCGTCTCGCACAGCTGTTACAGAACTTATGTGGTCGTTCGTCAGCAATAATATCATTGTCTTCTAGATGTATAATCCATAACCTCAGAAATTCTCTTTATTATGTTTTGAAAGCTTTCATCAGGATGTAGGATAATCTCAAGTTATATTTTATCGACTAAAAAAAAACCACGTAACTACCTGCAACTTAAATAAAAAAATAAAAGTTATATTTATATGTTCTGCAATTTTTCACAAATGATCTAGGTTTTCTAACACGCCCTTGGAAAACCGAACTTGATATAGGACTAAAATGTTCATTCTTTATCATAACAAGTTTCTTTTTACACATTAGCACATGAGTACTTAAATCTTTCAACATCATTAGTCCATCTCTGATTAATAGCATACATGTTTAGCTTTATCAATGAGGTATATGCACAGCATTACAATATTTATTTAAATAAGTACATTGTATATTGGCCTTTTACATCATGCTAGTTTAATATTAATTTTAGTTTAGATACAATGTAATCATCTGGAATAAGTCATTCTTAACAGATTCGAAACAAAAATATAATATTTTGATCATACGTTAAAACTTCAAATAGAAATATATCAGCATAGGTATCTAAATATGTTTTTAAAATATATGGGCCTTCAACATAAATACTAGTTTACCCAATTTCTAGATACAATGTTATCATCTGGAATAAGTCATTCTTAACAGTTTCGAAACAAAAATATTATTTTGATCATACGTTAAAACTTCAAATTGAAATATATCAGCATAGATATCTAAATATGTTTTTAAAATATATGGACCTTTAACATATATACTAGTTTACCAAATTTCTAGATACAATGTAATCATCTGGAATAAGTCATTTTAAACATATTAAAAAAGTACAAGTTTCATATTCTGATCAGATATTAAACTTCAAATTGAAATATATCAGCGTAGGGTTCTAGATCAATCATCAACATATTGTTTCAAGTATATGGGCCTTATATATATTTTGATCAGACATTGAACTTCAAATTGAAATGTATCACCAATAATTAGTTTGGTTTGGTTTAGTATTGTTTAACGTCCTATCAACAGCTATGGTCATTTCAGGACGGCCTGAAACGGTGTATGCATGCGTGTTTTGGGAGGCTGCGATATGTTCGTGTTTGTCTCCTTGTGATAGCGCGGAACTGATGCCGACTTTATAGTGCTACCTCACTGAAACATACTGCCAAAGACACCCAGCAGGACATCCCACCCGGTCACATTATACTGAAAACGGGCAAATCAGCCGTCCCACTCCTAAATTAAAGAGCGTTAAGCAGGATCAATAACAGCATATGTAGACCAATAATCATATGCATCTCTATTCCTGAAAGCATTGCCATCACCTTTATCTTCCATCAGTATCATAACTGTTATCAACATCAACTAGACAAACTGTGAACCATATACCCGCTTTTGTGTTGACACTTGTTTCTTGAGAAGACAAGTAAAGTTTCAAGTCATAACTCCAGCAAAGTGTTATTATTGAATTGCAAGTCCCTTTCTTCATGCACACCTACGTTACTATGATGTACATTGTAGTTTCACTGCGCTAGGTTACATAAACATCTTATAAAAGGTTAAGAAGGAGATGAGCTTACAAGGTTGCTAAAGTTCCAATGGCCATGTTTCAAGAAAAAATACTTAAATTGCATATGTATTTCCTTACATGATGTAGTTTTGCTTTAACACATATTCAACCAACGGTTTAAGAGGAGTTGCGCTTACAAGGATAATGTACTGACGGACGGAGAGGGGGATATCTATATACCCCAAAACACTTTGTCATCTAAAGCTGATAATTCCATCGTTACTATTACATTTCCCTGGATTATTTAAAATCAATATTACAACAATAATAAGATCAATCATAACATTGGCTTAATACTGCCATCAATAGTATCAAATTTATCAGATGACTACCATTAATGATATCACATATATCAATACGATTCTCCAAACTTACTATGGAACATTGCATGACATAACAACAACTCTCTAAATTTAAAATATCTACTTTCAGATCATCATATAAAATCTCTATATTTAATATAAACCTTCCACCACATCATCCTAGATTTACTATAGAAAATGTCAATCCTAAAAAAATAATCTTTCAAGATTTTTCATTCTAGATATAGTGTAGAATTGTTAAGAATACCGTAGCAATTCTCCAGATTTACCTGGACAGAACACCATGTTTGTTTAACATGTTTAATGCCACATCCACTATCTAGATATAGTGTAGATGAAAAACTATTCCTTAATTTGTTTAATTATCTAGATTTAGTATGTAAAGTATATCTAAATATCATGCTCTTAAGCAATCACCATAACAATTGCCTACTGAAAGGTCTCGAAACAATTCTTTACATATAATCATTGAAGAATATCAGCAATAACATAACCATTCTATTGATATCGCACTAGATATTAGCTATTTTATACACCGAATCTTTAAAAACATATTTAATTTTACATGTAACAACTATCTAAACAAAAATATAACATTGAGAGTTATGGTTGAGCAAGTGGATAGGTCACGCGCCTTTAACCAAGACGACCAGGATTCAATTCCCCGACCGAACATTAGAACATATTGGGTCACCTGCCTGACAAAGATTGCGTGCATCATTAATACCATCTGCGCCTTTTTATCTGACCCAACAAGAGTGTTTGATAAAAGGTTATGAAATTTTAAACAAAATTAACATGTCCTTATTGCATTGTAATAAATGCTTACGTTGCTTTTTTCATGTATTTTATTGCAATTTTTAAATGTTAGAACATTGGTTATTAATAGCCAATTGAGACTTGTTCAGAAGTTACTTATACGATATTATGACAGAAATCTATATGAATTAATTATATTTAAACATTTTTTTTTATGTTTTTTTTTTAATTTATATTAAATGAATACTAATGAAAAATATACACCAGCAAAACATTACGATAACCAAGATTTATAATGAACGTCTACAGTAGTATATCAATTATGTAGGTCTGGTATGGAAGTATTTCTTCTGTATCACAATAGTTTTCAGACTTATTCTGGGAAATCTTCTTAAATAGCATAAGAATCATATCATTAATACATCTAGCATGTATTAACATTGGCGTTATTTGCAACAATACAATAACCGTCCTATAAATTAAAAAATATTTCTGCATGAGTTCCGGCAGCATTTGAATTTTTAAAATAAAACAACTGTTTTGTTCTTTTTTATATCCGGTATAACAGAAGTTATAAACTTTCCTCAAATACCGCCAGTGCCAGAAACAGATAGTTTCAAAGTTTGGGCCCTTAATAAGTAGCTACCATAACGCTTACAGTTATTTGAACCTGTGTCACTTTTAAGGCTTTTTGTGCAGCTCGATTGACTTAAGAGGGCCATGGTATGTTTGGGAGTGTTTGTATTCATATATAAGCGAAACACGATAACATCTGAGAATTTGATTTGCAGGTAAACTATTCATATTCTATACAAAGAAAGCATGTGTAGGTTAGCTTCGAGTCCGTTTGGATGGGTACCAAACTTAGCTATTAAGATAAATACCAGCATAAATGAATGTCCAAAATCTGCCTGATGCATAAAAAAAGATTGATTAGTTTCAAATTTGTATGTGGCCAGTCAAAAAGGATATCAGCGTTCATAAATCCAGATTTGGACAGATACGTTCTAAATGGCTAGAACAAGTATGCAGAATACATTCTTCTACGCCCTTAGTATGATTCCAACAACCTTTTTTTTCCAAAAAATCTATATATCCGAGTAAGAAAAACAATTATTATTAAAATCACACGAAAGGATACTTAATATTAATCCACTCACCGGAGGATGTTTGGCGTACTACTCGTGTATGGCGCCTGCTTTTCAAGGCATTTGCGCTCACCACCAAACACACCGCAAGTATTATCAGGACTCTCATGACGATCGCTCGGAGTCGTTACGATTGCTGAGCGCGGAATCGACGTATCCTCGCTTTTATCATTGGTCGTGTCCCGATAACGGGCCGTGTTGTGACGTACCAAAATGGACTTGTACTCGTTAACATGGTCTCGTGAACAGATATAACAGTGCCGGTATGTCTTTACTAAAGGGGTACAACAAGTAAACAACCACGATACCCGTCAAACACTGCTCGGGATGGATGTCACTGACGTAAGCAGTATGGCTGCAAAAGCTTAGAAAGCTTAACACATATAAAATGCACTAACGATCGAGCTGATTTATGACATACTGTTTTATTTTTTTTAATTTACTTCCATTTAATATTTATTTTGAAACATTTTGATTTATTTCGAAAGACAAGAACACCGACTTAAAGCGAGTACATCCCACAGTTACTGTTGATGACAAGAGATGGCTATAGGCTTGTAATGTCGTGATATTTTGTCTCTGGGAGTTACACTGTTTTGTCAAACGACGACAGTTGAAGCCAAGACAAATATCTATTTGATTGCGCTTCATATCAGATCTGTGACTTTCGAAAGCTATAAATGACAACAAAAACGACAAAGATTATCCCTAGATACACAAAGGTTATTCCTTGTATGAATTAGTGGGATATATTTTCTACTCGTTGTTTACCTAATATAGAAGTTCCACAACTAGTTTCTGTTACTTATCAAGTTTCTCTTATTTACATTGGTTTAATTCTATATTTGCAACCTGTTAGAGATGTTGTTTTTAGGGATATAACAAGATCAAGACAACATAATTAACACCAATTGTGAGTTGTGGAACTTTTTACACCTTGATTTTTAGTGTATGCAGAGTGAATGAAATAGCTGTTTCGCAAACTGCAACGATTCAATCCATTCGGTAAGTTGTTTGGGGTAATACATTTACAATGAAATGAATATGCAAAACTCACACAGCTATGTTGAAAGATATACGTCAAATAGTTTTATAAAGATTCCAATAGCTATTTTTCCAACTTATTTCTACCCCGTTTTACTTCACACTGTATTTCAATCATTGGCATGTTATCATATATTTGTTGTTTGATATTAAAACTTAACTGACTTTCATTCTGAAGGAAAATATAAGAATTGGTTTATCACGCCGTACAACTCCCCAATCACATATATATCACAATCTAAAGTAAAAATACAACGGCAAAACAGTAGCAAAAAGGTTAATTTATAGCTGTTATAATTGTGTCATATATTTCCTACGATATTTCATCTACTCCAACGTCGGGGAAACAAAGTCCTGATGTAACCCCCTGATTGCTTTGTATGAAGAGTTGACTTATATTCCGTCTTTGCATATTGCAGAGTTATCTGCTCTTGTGAGCAGGTATTGATTGTTAATTCATTTGTTTGTGAGAGCAACGTCATCAATTTTTGAGAAAACGACGTAATTTTCTCACTCAAACCAATGACGTAACAATCAATACCTGCTCACAAGAGAAGATAACTCTGCAATACGAAAAGACGGAATAGAGTCAATGAAAAATCGAGGACGGTCTTCTGTGTCGTCGACTTAGGGGACATCCAATAAACCAATATCGGTCTGTTACACCCAATAAACCAATATCGGTCTGTTACACCCAATAAACCAATATCGGTCTGTTACACCCAATAAACCAATATCGGTCTGTTACACCCAATAAACCAATATCGGTCTGTCTGTTACACCAAATAAATCAATATCGGTCTGTTACACCCAATAAACCAATATCGGTATGTTACACCCAATAAACCAATATCGGTATGTTACACCCATTGCAATACATGGCGGCTACACCAACAATTGCAATACCTGAAGTCTTTTTCTTTTTTTTTCACTTCTCTGTTCTAAATTTGCGGCGGCGTCTCCCTAGAAACGCGTCTTTATATGGCGTTGCCTGTTGCGAGAACGTTAACCTCCACACAAGCAAACAAACAATCCCCATATTCTACCCACTTATGGATCAGTGGGTCTGCTTGAAGTAGTGGCATTTACCCATGTGCATGGTATAACCCACCTGACACTGTACGACGGTATAGAACTTTGTTTCTAAGCCAAAATCTGCTGGCGTTCAGCAATATGTTCCGATATGTCCTCGACCAATGCATATATATGTGTGCCCTTTTTAAAGATGGTCTATAATATACTTACTCAGACACACCCACGCGTTCTTTACTAAAAAAAGGTTAATTGATTAATTTTGAAGGACAATAAGAAATGTAACACGTGCAATTGTGGTACCTCTTTACATGGTTCACGTTGTCAATACAAATATGGCGATGACGTCGTGACTTATATTACCATATACTTTTTCCTGGTAGATTAACGACAAAAGGAGAAACATTTCACGCAAGTCTGGAAAAAGTGACGTCATCCATCGATGCTATGACGTCATAATTATTTATAATCTCCAAAAGAAGTATGGTATGACACCATTTGGCAGTATGTGTGAACATTAACAAAACAACTGGAGTTATATGTATTCACCTTTAACTTTTTGCACACCGATAAAACTAAAAATAAAAAATAAAAAATAAAATTTAATATTATTTAGTCAGTGAGTCTTTTGATGTGCAGAATGTGACGTGTTTATGAAAGATATTACAAGATAGCGTACGTTCTGTGTAGCATTCAGCGACAGGTGTGTGCAATACGCCAGGCAACTTGTCACTTGGTGGATCTCTGAAACAGTCAGTGAGGGGTGTCTGTGAAACGTAATGAAAGATAAAGGGTATTTGTTTCATGTTGGAGAGCAGGTTGCATGTGTCTACAGTACGAAATGTGATATCGTCAGTATTAAGGTGTGAGGGTATATCTTCAGTTATTAAGTGTATGGTGATATCATCAGTAACTAATAGTTAGTAATATCATCAGTAACTAAGTGTATGGTGATAGCATCAGTAATTAAGTGTATGGTGATAGCATCGGTAATTAAGTGTATGGTGATAGCATCAGTAATTAAGTGTATAGTGATAGCATCAGTAATTAATTGTATGGTGATATCATCAGTAATTAAGTGTATGGTGATATCATCAGTAATTAATTGTATGGTGATAGCATCAGTATCTGGTTAGTAATATCATCAGTAATTAATAGTTTGTAATATCATCAGTAATTAAGTGTAGGGTGATCTCGTCAGTAATTAAGTGTAGGGTGATATCATCAGTAATTATTGTATGGTGATAGCATCAGTAATTAAGTGTATGGTGATAGCATCAGTAATTAATTGTATGGTGATATCATCAGTAATTAATTGTATGGTGATAGCATCAGTATTTGGTTAGTAATATCATCAGTAATTAATAGTTTGTAATATCATCCGTAATTAAGTGTAGGGTGATTTCGTCAGTAATTAAGTGTAGGGTGATATCATCAGTAATTATTGTATGGTGTAATAGTTAGTAATATCATCAGTAATTGTTTGTAGGGTGATATCATCAGTAATTATTGTATGGTGTAATAGTTTGTAATATCATCAGTAATTAAGTGCAGGGTGATCTCGTCAGTAATTAAGTGTAGGGTGATCTCGTCAGTAATTAAGTGTAGGGTGATATCATCAGTAATTATTGTATGGTGTAATAGTTTGTAATATCATCAGTAATTAAGTACAGGGTGATATCATCAGTAATTAAGTGCAGGGTGATATCTTCAGTAATTAAGTGTATGGTGATAGCATCAGTAATTCAGTGTATGGTGATATTATCAGTAATTAGGTGCAGGGTGATATCATCAGTAATCAATTGTATGGGGATATCGTCAGTAATTCCGTGTAGGGTGATAGCATCAGTAATTAAGTGTAGGGTAATATAGTCATTAATGAGGGTAACATGTGTATACAGTACATTCAGTAAGTTCTCAATTAGTGTTCTGTGAGACAGAGGGTGACATGTGTATGCAGTACATTCAGTAAGTTCTCAATTAGTGTTCTGTGAGACAGAGGGTGACATGTGTATGCAGTACATTCAGTAAGTTCTCAATTAGTGTGAGACAGAAGGTGACATGTGTATACAGTACATTCAGTAAGTTCCCAATTAGTGTTCTGTAAGACAGAATGTGACATGTGTATGCAGTACATTCAGTAAGTTCTCAATTAGTGTGAGACCGGAGGTTACATGTGTATACAGTACATTCAGTAAGTTCTCAATTAGTGTTCTGGGAGACATAAGGTGACATGTGTATACATTACATTCAGTAAGTTCTCAATTAGTGTTCTGTGAGACAGAAGGTGACATGTGTATGCAGAACATTCAGTAGGTTCCCAATTAGTGTTCTGTGAGACAGAAGGTGACATGAGTATGCAGTACATTCAGTAAGTTTCCAATTAGTGTTCTGTGAGACAGAAGGTGACATGTGTATGCAGTACCTTTAGAATGTTCTCAATTATTGATCTGTGAGACAGAAGGTGACATGTGTATACAGTACATTCAGTAAGTTTCCAATTAGTGTTCTTTGAGACAGAAGGTGACATGTGTATGCAGTACATGCAGTAAGTTTCCAATTAGTGTTCTGTGAGACAGAAGGTGGCATGTGTATGCAGAACATTCAGTAAGTTTCAAATTAGTGTTCTGTGAGACAGAAGGTGACATGTGTATACAGTACATTTAGAATGTTCTCAATCAGTGATCTGTGAGACAGAGGGTGGCATGTGTATGCAGAACATTCAGTAAGTTTCCAATTAGTGTTCTGTGAGACAGAAGGTGACATGTGAATAAAGTACATTCAGTAAGTTCCCAATTAGTGTTCTGTGAGACAGAGGGTGACATGTGTATGCAGTACCTTTAGAATGTTCTCAATCAGTGTTATGTGAGACAGCAGGTGACATGTGTATACAGTACATTTAGAATGTTCTCAATCAGTGATCTGTGAGACAGAAGGTGGCATGTGTATACAGTACCTTTAGAATGTTCTCAATCAGTGTTCTGTGAGACAGAAGGTGACATTTGTATGCAGTACCTTTAGAATGTTCTCAATCAGTGTTATGTGAGACAGCAGGTGACATGTGTATACAGTACATTC